ATAGTTGCATAATTGTATGATAGAATAGTCGCTGTAGTGATACCTTGTATATCTAGACAACAATGCCGATGATGTATGTACTATCGATCTTTTCTGCATGGCTTTTAAAATAGTAATCTGATTAGACATTAAGCACACTGTGATGACGGCTGTGGTGTGTAGTCACAAGTGATTTTAAGAGAGGTGAAAGAGACCTCCCATTTTATCCTATTTTTCCACCCGTTAACTGTTCAATTTAGATAGCAGTCTCTAGGGTCCTCTCTTGAGCCGATCAGGTTCTTTAAAGCTGCTTATCATTCTTTGTCTATTCTAAGTTCAACAGTCACAAGGGAGCCAGTGTCTACCTTCGCTTGTTCGCATTTTCGGAATAATGATGTCCCCGAGTCCGATTATGCATGCCCCATCTTCACCAGATTCTCCGATTTTCAGTCCACCAAGCTCAGTTGATCGAAATTTAACTACGAGGCAGCTTCAATTCTTGCCGGCAGTAATACCTCACTTGGGTGACCAGGATACGATAATATTCTCCAAGGTGGCTAATACAGAGGCGACCATGGATGATGAACCAGTTGTCCGTTTTAAGGACGTTCATGCATTAAAAATAGGACAGGAGGATGGACAGGATGGCCAGGTATATCCTCGCAGTTCCATGGTAGAAAACCTCTTGGCTGATATCTATGAGCGACGACAGGATTGTCTGGGTTTCAGTTCACTACCGCTAGGAGAAAGCAGCGCCAATGAAGCGACGAGTCTTCAGGTCTCCGAACTTCGAGTTCTTCGAGTTGCGCGAAACTCTGCCAGACTTACCAGCCTCCATTTAAATGATGGCCTATCGCAGAATCAGAGCTCGAATGATAACCAAACTTCACACTTTTTGCCTACTAGCCGCGCTAAAACCAGCCACTTAACCAGGCTTAAGCCTCCGTCATCACCATCCATTCAAAATATAGGAAAATTACAGCTTCACCGATCCAAACTTCCAGCAGGTAGTAACGACCATTTTAGTGTTAAAGATACTTCTGGAAAGGCACGCCAAAAGGAGGCCGGCCAAGAGGGATCATGCAAAGGACCAACGTCAGTTTACTTAGTTAAAGGAAAGCCTGAAAAAAAGCCAAGCGAATCCTTATTCATTGACGTTCCTCATGTATTGAGCAAAGCTGAAGCGCTCAAATGTTCTCCTTGCTTCCATAAATCTGTGCTTACTACTCAGCCTGGCGTTTGTGACAACTTAAAATTGGACACAAGCCATCTTCAAAATCGATTCATCGCCTATGGTAAGTGTTGCATTTTTCATATTTGCTATTTTGCATGACAAAACATTTCCGCCATTGATTATGGCTATATTTATTCATTATAGCAACAAGAAGAGCATTCAGGATCTCTGATACTTTAATCACTCTTTGTCACATATACTGATTTACCATAATTTGAATCACTAACATTTATCCAGTCTCAGCTGCCTGTCGCACTTACTCCTACCAAATACCACGTTTATTAAAACGATTGTTCGCTTTATCTAAATAATCATCATATTTAGGATTTTCGCGAGTTCTGCATCGTCATTACTATTTAGATTTTATTCGATGGTGCCTCTTCTCTGATGTGGTACCTGTAGTTATTTAATTCGTGGTTAGTTATGAGGAAAAGATGCGAAGATATTGATGTTTTTTCGACGTAATTCTGGTATATCCCAAAGAATGATTCTAATTTGGGCTTCGGTCCAGATCAATCATTACAAAAATTTAAGTGGGTGGACCTCGTTTTCACAACTTGGTCTTGTTGTCAGGGTGACTTAGTTGGAAACACCTGGTCCGAAGTCCTCTTCCATAATAGTTGGCATACTTCCCATTGGACTTGTAGCATTCTCAGATATTTCATCGGCATCATAGCCGGCACTCGTCAGAGAGACAAGTGAATTCATTCTCTTGATCAACGTTCTGCCCTTGGAGGAAGACAGAGTTAGAGATAACTTTGCCTACTGCTTAAACAAACTCGAGGAAAACATGGATATGGCAAGACCAGCAAAGAGGAGACGCCTGGATCAAGGGCCTATCGGTAACCAGAGGAAGAGGGAAATTTCGGAAATCAAGCGAAGACGTTCTCGGTGAGTGAAGTCTGCTCGAAGAAACCAGTACAACTATTGGGGGCCTGGCGGTCACGGAACTAGGGGGACGGATAATCACGATCATGACAGAAATTCGGAATTATAGACAAAATGTACTAGAGATCCAAACGAAATGCAGCAGGCGACTAGGAATGGGCGTCCATAGCTTGTTCAGGTTACACAGATCTAATCAAGGAGAACCTAATAATTGCAAGCATGGAAATCAGACACTAGGCGCTCTGCTCAGTGAGGCGGCAGTATACATGCTTCTAAGGGTTTGAGAAATGGCGCCTGGAGTAAGACGCACACTGGGACTGGAATCGAGTAAAATCGGTCAACCAGAAAGATAAGAAACGGATCTACGGGACCATGATGGAGATCCGGATTGTAGGCCCGAGTCGGATTAGCTGATTGAAAGAAAGGGGGACAAGGTGAATGGCAGGTGGGATGACGCCACAATAAATTTGCCAAAAAAGCATACCTATAGGCAAGTGGAATGTACGAGTTGTGTTGCCTCTATTTCGTTTAAGATGGTGAAGGACTGGTAGTTGAATTTTCCTACAGGGATATGAGTAGAGCTGACGTTCCCATTGAAGTTCACATAGCCTTGCTTTCCCAAAGGGTGTTTTCATCCGGAGTGGGCTGGAATGCAGTTTCGACCTCGCCTAGGTCTTATCAACACCCTCAGCGGAAGTCGAACCATGACAGTTTAGCCTGCACTCTCGACTCGTTAACCACTATGCCACATTACCAAGAGTCCCCTTGGGTCACAGGGCACATGTGAATTTCAAGAAAGGCCAGGCATTTTCCCATATCACATTTTCTGTTGGGATTATCGAGGAAGCAAACCTATATTAGTTATAGCAATAGACGACAACACAGAATGTGATATGTATAATGCCTGACCTTCCTTGAAATTCCCATCTACCCTGTAAGCCAATAGTACTTGTGGCAATGTGGCATAGTGGCTAACGTGTCGAGATTACAAGCTGAACTATGATGGCCTTTTGTGTGGTCGCACTCTTCTTTCGTTGTATAGAGGTTGTCTGACCTTGTTTTCGCAACATGGTCATATTGGTAGAAAGACTTTTTGGAACGCACCTAGTCAGGGGGCTATTGTCTGCATGATCATTTGCAAAGTTGAACCGTGGACGTGGTACATTCCCAAACGTTTCCCTGGCATCGTAGTCGGTATCGTCAGTGAGTATCGCCATTCTAAGCACCACACAACAACTCGTCAAAGAGACAAGTGAAGCCGACGAGTTGTTGTGTGGTGCTAAGAATGGCGATACTCACCGACGATGCCGATTACGATGCCGGCGAAACGTTTGAGAATGTACCACGTCCACGGTTCAACTTTGGAAATGATCATGCCGACAATGAGCTCCGGACTAGGTGCGTTCGGCTAAGTCTTCCTACCAATATGACCATGTTGCGAAAACAAGGTCAAACAACCTCTGAACTATCATGGTTCGACTCTCGCTGGGGGTGTTAATATGACCTAGGCTAGGTCGAAACTTCAGTCCACCCTGGATGAGATCACCCATTGGGGAAGCAAGGAAATATGAAATTCAATGCAAACTTCAGCTCACTGTAGGAAATTTCAACTACCAGTCCTTCATCAACTTAACCGAAATGGGATAACACGACTCATTATTCTGATTTACTGGTAGTCTCCAAAACCTACTCAATAACGAAAGGAGTGGAGTGTGAGCAAGTCGGAAGTTATGATAGGGCGTGAGTGGGATAAGAGGTTAAGAAGTAGATAGATGGACCAGGACAGAAA